GTATTAAAATCCAAACTATTGGATAATAAATACTATAGAAAATCAGAGGATGAAATGATACATATCTGCTGGAGTAGCAAAGAATGACTTCTTGGAACGAGTGAGTTTTAACAAATAAATGTTATGAGACGAAATGTTCGATTTTTTTTTCACTCTTTATTCTAGACACCCCTGATTTCCATTTTTAATTTTCATGGATAATCTATAGATTTTATTAGATATTATTGGGTACATATATACACAGAAATATATATTTATATAACACAGACACACATATATAAATATAAACAAACATATGTATTATTTATTTATTGTTTTTATTTTTAAACATATTTATCATATGTACTGCTTGTCTAAATTAAAAAGATGTCATAAAGAATAATTTTACTAGATGTGTCAAAAATTACCTATTAAAAAGTAACCATTTGTTCTTTGTTTTGGGATGTTCTTTCTTAAATATGAGATCCTTGCCTTCTGTTCTGGAATCCTGAATATACTGTTACCCAGGTTCCAAGCCCCAAATTCTTTTAGGGCTCTCCTAGGGGGTGTTACTTTCTCCAGGATTTTTATGTGGTGCATAATGCCAGTTTATATCTCCTGGTGAGACTTTGATTCGACTCAGTTTTGTGTCAGATAACTTTTCATACTTGAATAATCGAATTCAACTGGATGATGATGATCATCGTGATCATGATCATGATTAATAATAATGAAAACTATGAAGTTTTCTAAAGATGCTGGTAGATTGAACTTATATATTCAAGTATACAGTTTGGTTATTTTCTTTTCCCTCTTTCTCCCTACAGATTGTTCTTAGGGGCAAATACGTAAATGGCTGACAGAAATGTCAGTGTGATAACTGAATTCGTCCTCCTGGGGTTTACTGACAACCCTGAACTGAATACTGTCCTTTTTGTGCTGTTTCTCTTGATCTATCTCATTACTGTGGTGGGCAACATCTGGGTTATCACGATAATTCTGGCTAGTGCCCAGCTTCATTCTCCCAAGTACTTTTTCCTTTGCCAGTTGGCTTTCTTGGATTTCTGCTATTCCTCAGTCTTTATTCCCAAAATGTTAGTGAACTACATAGCAGGACAGAAGGTCATCTCCTATCACGGTTGCCTCCTTCAGTATTCCTTTGTCAGCATGTTCCTGACCACCGAATGCTTTCTCCTGGCTGCAATGGCGTATGATCGGTATGCTGCCATCTGCTACCCACTTCACTACAAAGGTCTCATGACCCCCACGTTGTGCATCCACCTGGTGACCGCTTCCTACCTACTAGGTTGTGCTAACTCACTCATTCACCTGAGTGACTTGCTCAGTCTGTCTTTCTGTGGGCCCAACGTCATTAACCATTATTTCTGTGATATTCCATTGCTCTTTCAACTTTCGTGTTCTGACACCCGATACAGTGAGATTCTGTTTATTGTCCTCTCTGGAACGACATCAGTGACTACCTTTCTGATAGTAGTTAGTTCTTATCTGAGGATCCTTCTCACTGTTCTGAAGATACACTCTACGAGGGGCAGATACAAAGCCTTCTCCACATGTGCTTCCCACCTGACGGTGGTGACTCTCTTCTATGGAACGGTGATATTTACGTATCTGGGAACCAGCTCTAGCTACCAACAGGACAGAGCCAAAATCCTGTCCATGTTTTATACCCTTTTGCTGCCAATACTAAACCTTCTGATATACAGTGTGAAAAACACAGAGGCCAAAGAAGCAATGAAAAGAATTATTATGAGAAAAATATTTGCTGAGTGACCATGAGTAGAAACATTTAAGAAATATTTATTGATGCTACAGACAAGTACATTGTTAAATACCTGTGGGTCTTGTTGGAGAGAAAAGGATGGTATTTTTAAGGATTTCAAAACATGGTCATTGGACAAAAATCAAGAAAACAGAAGCATATTAAATCAAGCAAAAATGAAAGACATTCTGAAGTATAAAATTAAAGATAAAGGTGTTATTTGGGTATACTATAAAACCAGAAGGAACCCAGATGTCTTCAAATATTTCTTACTCAAGCTGTAAATTGGTACGGTGAATTTTCTCAATAGTTTTAGGCTGCAATATAAAGAGATAACAAAAATTAACTTCTTAGATCTAGCAAGACCTTATTTGTACACAAAGATAGTTCTCCAACAATAACTAAAGAACCATATTTGTTTCTTCTCCTTCTGTACTTTGTGGTCTCCTTGTTTCTGATAAGACTTTTGCTTTTTCAACTAAACCAGTTATTTAATCTCATGTTATGTCATGTGGGTGAATTCAGTCTCCATAATCAGCCTGAAGATATGAGATTGATTTTATTGCTATTAAAAGCCTCTGTTAGCAGTGCAATGCTGATAATAATCTGTATCTGCATCTGTCTCTATATCTATATATGTACTTATACACAGTTTGTATGATAAGATTAAGGTATTATGATGTTAGATTCTACTCTAATTCACAGTGGTCAAACAATACTAAATATCTGTAACTACGACTATTACATATTTAACTGTTACAATTTATTTAAAATTTTAAGCGAGGGACAGCAAAAAGGATAATACAAGCCTATTATGTTGAGAAATATGAAATTGAAAGTGTCAGAGCACATATTATATTTGCCTCATTATTGAAGAATATCATTAAAGGAGGGAAAGAAGGGATTAGATTTGTTGTATAGGGTTTGAAGGAATATAATTGTAAGAATTTTAAAGTTTTGAGCTAAATACATTTGAAAATCAAAGAAATGTATCCTTAACAATATTCTGACTAGTTAGATGCTATCTGAAAACACATTTCAACTCATTGTATCAAGATTTTGCTATATATGTTATCCCAAGACCAAGAATAAGAATTTCCTCCTCGTTTTCACTTCTAACTCCTCTTCTGGGCTGTTTATTCCTGTAAGGAAAGGCTGCATCTTATTTAACTTTATAGTTCCAGGATAAGTGGGAAAGTGATTATCACATAGTAGGTGCTCAATACTCATTTGTTTAATAATCGGTCATTAATTACTTCAAATGATTGTTTTCTTGCCTATCATGTACTAGCATATTTGATAATAAAGAGTGAATAAATAGATAAATAAATAAGTATACAAATAAATAAATTAGTTTTTTTCATCTAGTATAGTACAAAAAAAATCAGCTACTTCTTGGAATCAAGTTTTCAATAATATTTAAAGTGATGAATATATAAATAATAGAAACATATGAGAAAGTGTTCTTCATGCAGATTAATGAAATAAATACCTAGTAAAATAATCTTTGACTTATCAAGCTCTATTAAATATGGAGCTTAAGAAGATGATAAAATTGGTGATCAGGGACAGTGTTTAGAGAAATAAAAATTTACCAGACCACTCTAGAATGCCTGATGCTAATATGTAGAAGAAAGTTGTAGTTTGGGCCCCAAATCTACTTCAATTATTTATCTAAAGGAAACAAATTGATGTGTATTCTGCATTACCTTTTTAAAAAATAAACAAAGAAAACATCATGATTAATGTAATTGCCTAATGGGGGTGCTAACAGTTTAATAAATGTATATGCATAGGTATAATAGATTACTATGTCACTTATATTAAGGACATAAAATAATCATTGATTGAATACTTATTATGTCATCAATAAAACATTCAAGATGTTTTAAATATATAGAATTTAATTTCATTTTCACAAAGTTACTAGTATTGTAACTTTGCAGACAAGGACACTGAGGAACAAGAACTCCAGCATCCCCATTTCCTACAATGATTTACATTCTGTTTCTTTTTCAATAGTACTCTTCACCTTTTAACATGTTGTATCACTAATTTTTGGTATTCCTTTCTATTTCCCTCTGCAGAGAATTTATAATCTGTAAATACTATACTTTATAAGATCAGACTTTCATATCAACATTTGATTCTTTCTTTTTTAGCATCTATGAGTCATTTATACTAGGTGATTAAAGTTAATCCAGAGATTTTAATAAATTTATGAAATTTAACTTAAAGAAATCACATTTTCTGACTTATGCAATAAAATTTTAAATTAAGATTTATAAGAAAAAACTTTTAACTTGAAAATTAAAGATAAAATTAAAAAATAATCTCATTATTCTTAGTCAAATGGAAATTTTAAAAATTAACTTTAATATTTGTATAATTTACCACAATAGGAATAATCCTTTTGCTACATGAAAGGTAAATGAAAAGTGACTCTCAGATAAATAATACAAATGTTATATTTTTGCATTATTAAATGGGTAACAAAAAGTAAGTAAAACAAGCAGTTATTACTAGATGATTAAAAAAACAGTGAATTCACCTAAATAAAAGAAGGAAAAAAATGATAAGAAATAGCTAACAATTAATGAATTAGAAAGCAAAAAAATTATTGAACAATATTTATCCAAAAAGAAAATGAAACCATTCAAGTCAAGGAATATCAAGGCATGGAAAAGCAAATAAATCCTCCTCCCCTTGTCTTAGCTCATGTAATAAAAACCATTAAAAGAAAAAAAAAAAAAAAAAAAGGAAGGAAGAAAGGAAGGAAGGAAGGGAGGGAGGGAGTGAGGGAAGGAGGAAGAGAAGGAGGGAGGAAAAAGAAAGAAAGAAAGAAAGAAAGAAAGAAAGAAAGAAAGAAAGAAAGAAAGAAAGAAAAGAAACTCACACAAATAAATAAATGACAAGAATAATCCAAGAGAGAAAAAGGAAAGAGAAAATTGAAGAAGTATAGTTAAAAATGTGATGAGGTAGGGAATGAAACTATGTTATCATTAAATCAAAAGAGATTTAAAATCTCTGGTCAGACTTTGGTGTCTGCCATGACAAAATAAGTGATACAAGAATAGCCTTGCAATCATAAACAACTATGAACATGAACAAAATAGGTTTCAATATTGGGAAAATATTAAGCAAGAAAAACTTGCGCCTTGTTATTTTGCAATCATCATGCCTTTGGAGGTGGTATTGACCACTAGTCTCTCCTTTAACTTAACTATCAAGGTTACCTTCTATCAAGTAGGTTGATCCTGGCTTTAAAAAAATTTTTATTAAATTTATTGAGATGGCATTGGTTAATAAAATTATATAGGTTTCAAGTGTACAATTCTATATCATCTATATACCTCATAAACATTATATAAAAAATTAAAAATGTTTTCAATATTTATTGATAATAAAAGTTTATCAGATAAATATACCATAGAGTAAACATATATACACACAAACTAATTAAGAAAAATCTAAGCTATATTGATAACAGCATATAGAAAATATCAGCAATGTGTATGTGTAAAAAATGAGATTTCATAAAAAGAGTTGCTTATTCAAGAAAGAATTGTGTGGAAAATCATAATGTAGTGAATGAAACCTCACAAAAAACAATTAAAAAAAAAAAACATTTATAGGAGCCAATTGGATGAATAGCAGTGGAGAGAGCCTGTCAAACAGAAGCAAGAAAATGCAGAAAAATTGGAGGAATAAATTGTGATAACAGACTCTCTGGTTTTGTACTGTTGAGGTGTTATTTAAACATGATAATCCTATTTTAGGGCTATCCTAAATATCCTTATTTAGTACTCTATGTTTCTAAAGAGATTTTTTTTTGGTTGGAATCAACAGGGTTTCATGAAATAAAATAATAATAGTAATGATTGAAATGGAAGAAAAGAAGGAAGAATGGAGGGAAGGAGGAAAGGAAAAGAAGGAAGAAGGAAGAAAGTAAAGAAGGAAGGAAGGAAGGAA